AACAATTACGTATATATTATATAGCTAATAGTAAAATAAATTATATACGTAGTAATTTCGAACATATTAATTAATAGTGAGCAGAAAATTTATTAATTTACATTAATTAGCCAATCGGGTTACTTCGATCATGTGCAGGATTGACACAAAATCTGACCAATTAGATGATCTTCCTCCTATGAACCCCCAAGTGGTATATCTAGAGTTCAATTCTTACTAATAGTGAAAAAATTAAATTCTTTCGTGTAATAGCAATTCTCTCGTATATTAAAAAGAAGATCCTGTAACATCGGTCATACCTTATATAGGAAGAATATCCATTGTACTATCGAGTCAATCTAAGGGAGATTTTGGGGCATTTGTATAATATACGAGTTGCACAAAGAGGATACAAAACCAGTAAGGTGCGTAAACTCATAATAAGTCCTTAAAATCATGTAAATCTAATGAATAGTGCTATAGAAAGCCCACTTGGCAAAACCTGAGTAGAGAGGTAGTATAAGCTTTCGACTGTACCTACTGGAATAGGCTCCATCCGAGGCTAGAGAACTGAACGAGGCAAGAGTACCAGCAAGTTACTCCACCAACCAGGCTGCCAGGTCGACTGGAAGAAAAGACTGGCGTCCTTTCTGGGCCATCTGGATTAGTAGTCTAGAGAGACCGACTAGGGGATACTATAAAGGAAGGTATCGATTGTCTTGAAGAAGAGGTGCCAGGGTTTGGGTGAACTCTATAAGAGCTGAGTAGGTAATAGTAGCGGCTTCAGCTCGCAAGTACTTGGTCTTGACCTAGACGCAAGTTACCAAAGTAAACTAGATAATACAGTAATAGTGGGTACCGGACTGCTTAGCAGGTGATGTACTTGAAGATGAATCGGTTAACTATACCAGTAGTTCTATAGGTAGTCTGCGACGATTTTGGAACTTGGACTGACTAATGTATTACATATCCTGGGTGAGGTTAGATGGATTGGTATAGAAAACTCAGATCAAAGGGTTTAATTAGGTAATCCAAATAATTGTGAATTATAAGTACGGCATCTAGTATAGTACTTAGTAATAGGCAGCTACTTAATTAGACGCTCAAAAGGTGCAGGTATGATTAAAATGTATCTTTGTCAGAATGTACTTGTCTGGAGCCCCCTTGAAAAGAGCACCATATGATTCTATAATCTAATAAAAGCGACAAGCCAAAGAGGCTAACCTTGACTACAAAAAAAAAAAATTTGAAGAAACTATGGAGGCATTAATAGTTCATAGTTATAACTTTCGTTTCAAAGAAAAAATAAATGATAGATCATTGAATGATATTATACTTGTTGACCTTGTAAAAATAATTTACATTTTACTTGAAGAGTTTTTCTGTTATTATGAATGTAGATACAATGCAAAGGTATTTCAATTCTAGGCACATTTTATTAAACTTTGGATCGAATACCAGGGCAACTATATAGACTACCCCTGACTTTGTTATATTAACAAGAGTATATTCTAGCTATACTTGTGTTTTTTAAGCATCTAATTACAGTACTATAAACTGCTATATAAAAGACCTAAGTCTTTTACATTTCATCAAAAAAATTAATTAGTAAAAAAAAGAAAATAATTAGTAAAAAATGAGGGTGGGTCTAATATGATCTTGTATATAGCAGTTTATGATAAGTAGTTTGCCTATTACTAGGTTCTATACTAGATGCTATACCTATAATCCACTATTATTTAAGTTATCTAATTAAACTCTCTAATCAACTTAGCATCATTAGATATTCTTTCCAAAGAGAAACTGCTGCTAAGACTCCTTAGAACTACTTTATTTTTGTGATAAACCTATTAGAGCAGTTTATGTCCTACACATGTATCATCTAGATTTTCAGTAATTTACATCTAGGCCATGGCCAAATACTTGCAGCTTTTTATCTCTGATACTATTATCTATTCTGTGCCTTTGCAAAGTTTACCCAAACCCCAATACCCACTTTACAGACTATTAATAGTACTTTGATACTAACTAACAGTACTTTAAACTTTCAATCCAGATAGCCTTGGAGGGACCAGTAGGCATCTCTTAATATTCTGAATGAATCTTTTTTCTTTCGGCTGATTTGCTGATCTGGTTGGTGTAGTGCTTGCTAAACATTCAGTTCTCATTTAGTTTACTGCTAGTGTTTGGTTCTCTAAATAATAATCCTTTATATAGTATTGTTAAAGATCTCTGCTATCTCTCTACTTGGAACTTTCCAAGTGGGCTTTCATATTCTCTAATCACTTGAATTTATTTGGCTGCTTCACTTGAGTTTTGTATAATTCATATATTACACTAATGTTTCACAATCTAGTATATTAAGCCATATAATTTGGATTGGTTGATTAAGCTAGCCAATTAAAATATCAGCTAACAGCTGGCCAATAGGAAGGTGACTTGTTACATGACCAGTATTTTAAGCTATATGACAGCTAATCAAATTATTAGCTAACTAATGGCTAGCTAATAGCTGACCAATAAAAAGTGATATATCATATAATCTTGTTTATATCACATAATATAAGCTACTATAGAGGCCAATCAGAAGAGATTTGCCAATTTTAAAAAAGTTATGTGATTTTCGTATTTAGAATTAGCCAATAGAATCACAAATAAGGTAATAATAAAAAACTATTAATTAAAACCAATTTTTTTATTATGATAATCTTGTTTAGGCTTCTAATAAAAGTTGTTATTGTGATTCTAATGATAGTAAAATCATTAAAATTTGGCTTGTAGATCATGAGATATGTGTAAAAATTTGTTATAATTCTTTAAGTTTCTTAAAAAATTTAAGAATATTAATTGATGATTTTCCAATAAACAGGAAAATGATCATAGTATAATGTGACATGATTTTATATATAAATTATACATGCTGATGAAATTATTTTAGATTTCAGAGTATGAAATTAAAATTTGAAAATGAAATTGTTTTTGACCTATTTTACTTAAAGGTAGGCTTTCTTATGTTTATTATATTATAAGGATTTAAAATGTTACTATCATGCATAATGCAGATCATCACAATCTAAAAAAAGATTTTTTTTAGACAATATGATTTTACTTGAATACTACCAATCAAAATTTGTCAGATATGAATATGCAATGATGAAATTTTGAACGGATATACAGATGCTGCACAGAACAAATTAACATTTTGTATCAGTATATAGTGTGCACACTTATAAAAAGTTGCTTATAGTTTTGATACACAGAAAAGTTTACAAATTGTGCAGTATCCGCACAGTAAATTTTAACTTGAAAAATTAATACATACTGGATTAGACTAAAAAAAAGATAATAAATTTCAAATAAGCTTTTCTAAAACGCTTTCATTTTTTATTTATTCTTATTGATATATGTTTTAAACCTCAACTGCTATGTATAAATATTAGCATTTTCTAACTACTCTTCCTTTCTTTTTTGTAGAAGTAGTTTTCACACTTGCGATACCAATAAGTGTTCACTATTTTCTGAAACATTTACAATTTGGTGGCTGTAACTTAAAATAGAAGACTCAGGTCATATTTGCTTCAATTCTATTTTGTGTTGAATCACTCCATGTAATATCAATTGCTCTAACAAATATTTTGCTTCCTTATGTTTTTGAATAGTCTCCTTTTTGGTAAGTTTTTGAAAATCAACCAGATTTTGAAGATTTTTTTTTTTTGCATTTTGGCACTTAGAATCCATGAATACGTCGAGTATATCATCTAATTTTACGTAAGGCCAAGAAGGACCAAATAATAGTTGTTGTGATACTACTTGGTTTACAATCTTTATCATTCGTCTAGCCTCCATTTCGACATTATACCAGAATGCATCATATTTTTTTCAATGATCACAGTTATCACAATTATTACATTCAACTATCAAAAGATCACCAAGTCATAAGTAACTCTGATATGCTTGTTGTTAATGATACTCATACACTGATTCACAATATGCTACAACTTCAAAAATTAAATCTTGCTTTCTTTACAAATATTCATACCACTGTATTACATCTGCTAAGCTATTGGTTTCTGGGTAGGTTTCTTCATCACTATAGTAATTTATATTAATCTTTTTAAATATAAATATTAATCAGTACTTTTTTTTTTGTTGATACCTTGAACGACCTTGTGAAATGATTAATAACAATGTACGAATGTCTGAGCTTGAATACATAATAACATTTTTTGTTGCCATTCCATCTCGATCAGCACGGCCTGTTTCTTGTACCAATGCATCTATAGACATTAGAAATGTGGTATGAATAATAGTACGTATATTATTGACATTCAAACCCATTCCAAATGCAGTTGTTGCAGAAATTAATTTCAATTGACTATTCTTCCAATTTTTCAGATTCATATTTTGATCTTTACTTAGCATGGATCTATGATACTTTCCAACAATATTTGATCCAAAGTGTTTAGCTAAAACATTATAATAAATATCACAATCATCAATAGTTGCAGAGTAAACTATATATCGATTGAGAAAATTTGATTGTACAAGATCTAATAATAATTTTGTTTGATTTTTTTTCTGCGCTGGCTTATTTAGGACTTCTAATCGAATTTTAGATTGAGATATTGTAGAACTTCGGAATATTTTTAAATCTAATAATCCAAGGTTATCTTTGATTATTTGCGCATTTGTTTGGCTACAAGTTGCAATAAGAAGAAGAATTGGTGAGGAGAGGAAATCTCGTTTAAGTAAATTTAGTTTAGCCCAATCATTTCTATAGATAATATATAATAGATTAGTATTAACTCCTTTAGTAATATTAATATTTTATAACTTACTGAAAATAAACATATTGATTTATACAGTGTGCTTCATCAATAACGAATTGCAATTTTTAATTACATGCAATTTTTTGTAACATACGAGCAAATGCTAGATTTTTTATATATTTCTTTGGAGTTACTAGTAGTATTTGTGTAAATCCAGATGCAATTTCAGAAAAAATTGCTTCTTGATCATCAGGTGGCTGTTCAGAAGATGCGTATAACATAGCTGATGCGATACCCATATTTACTAGCTCCTGCTGTTTTAAACCCAAAAAATTAAACATATTCAAAATATAAAATTAAAATAATTCGCTATAATAATATTTACTACTTGATCTTCTATTAATGCCTTTAATGGAGTAAAAACTACAGTTAACACCGTAAATAGTAAAGCTGAAGAAGCATAAATAAAGGTCTTTCCTCTGCCAGTAGGTAAAATACACAAAATATCATTTCCTGCAGTAAAACTATCAATACTTTCTCGTTGCTTTGGTCTGAATTCTGTAAAGTTAAACACTTCACTAACAATTGCATCTAACATTCTATTTTTTGAATCTGGTTCATTTTTGTCTTTATTTTGATAAATTTGATTTGGTATCTGCTGAGAGCAACCATGCATTTTATAAAAACTACATACAAGACAAAGACCATTAGAATATCGTATAGGAAAAGATTGGCAACCATCACACTTAATAATAGTCTTGAAATTAGGTATCTTTGTTGCAAAAGAAGGATGAAATTGCATAGTTTCTAAACCTTGTTGAACTATTTGACTATATGGTACTAGATTCTATAATAAAAATAGGTGTGAATACTTATTATTTTTTAAAAAAAATTTGATAAATTATTTACATACTTGATCAAAATTAAATCCGCCAAGACAAGCTTTCTGATTTATAATTTTTTAAGCACGAGTTTGATTTCGGGCTTCAATTTTAGCTATATTTGCTACACGTCAATACTCTCTTTGTTCCTGTATCTTACTAATATTATGTATATCTTAATTTGAAAATTTATATAATTTGCCAACCTTTCTTATAATAGTTAACATCTCTACTAGGCCAACATTATTATGTAATACTGCTAATACATGGCGAGCTGCAAAAGACTTTGGATAGTCTGTTTTTTTATCAGTATAATTTAATTTCAACTGATTAATAGCCTCATTAACACTAGTTCTAATCGTTGTTATAAGACTTTGCTGATTTAGTAATTTCATAATTTTTCGCAAAAATTCTTCTAAATCTTTGCATTGTATATTACTATAAGTAATTAAATTAGGCGTACCTAGTTCAAAATCTGGATTTTCTACAATCCAGCAAACCTCAGGCCAACATTTGTCATGTTTGCCACGTAAATAATCAATTACTGTTTTAGTTTGCATATCAAATAATTCATCATTCGTTGGACTTTTTATATCTGAATTAGCAGTACGAGTAATTGCTGCATATACACACTTGGAATAATATTTCATAATAGGTTGTTCAAACTGTTTCCAGTTAATGTAGTTTACTAAAGTAATAAATAAATTAAGTTAGTATAATTTTAATAATTAATATTATTTTATATTGTATATTATATATACATATCTATTTTTTTTCTTATGAGCTTCGACTTATGCTTTAAATCACCAAAAATCCTATTCACAACACTTTGATTAACTAGTATTTTATTGCTATCCAAGTCTCCAATAGCAATATTAAGAACAATATTATATTCTTCTAAAATCAGTATAATTTATCAATTATTGCAACAAGAATAGCATGTTCCATCTGTTTAGAACTGCTATTATAATTTTCTTTATTTATAATTATAGTTTTTTCATTCTTATTTTTGTATTCTCTTGGTTTTTCAACAACGTGGAATGCAATAATAGGTTTGTGTAAACAATCTATACAAAATTATATTATTATTGTATTAATTATTTAATATTTAAAATAAATTATTTTAATAAATTAACTCACTCTCAATTATTCCGTTAAACACAAATTCCCTACTTGCTTGCATTGCTTCCCGGATGTGACTCCATAAACAATCAAATGAAGCTTCAAGAATGTATTTGCCTTGTAATTGAATTAATTCACATATTGTACGTAAATTCTGTTCAGCATTTTTATTGACAATATTTATCAATTCAGCCATAAAAAGATTTTGATTATGAAAATATTGTTTTATGACATTTTGTCGTATTAATCCAATTAATGAGAGTATAGTTCTAATTTCTTTTCAATTCATACCTCTACTAATTCTGCAGCTGCTACTGCTTTCGAAAATCTATATCATTAGTCTTATTATTATAGTTCATTTGTGTCTCACAATTAGAGTATATAACAGTAATATGTATATTTAATCCAATAACTTTAATTGTATATTTACGACTTGTAATTTCATTATTACCACATATCGGATATGATTGATTCAATACTAATTCGAGATAAATGTTTGTGCTAACTAAAACCAAAGAGCCAAGCTTTCCCTTATTAATAAGTTGATCAATTATATCTGATACAGATTCCGGATCTATTGTACTATTAGTACTTTCGCTAAGATTAAAAGTTAATAAGTTATTATATTTTAATTAAGTAATATATATATTTTAAATCATTGTTATAAATACCTTGAAGTCCGATCTAATTGTTCATGAAGTTGATCTATCATAATTGAGGATTCTCGTAATTTTTTTTTAGTATTCTTTAATTCAAGTTTAGTTTCTTCTAGTTGAAGAGTAATTGCTTGAGTAGTACGATTATCAATATTTAATCCTTCAAAGGTTAAAGGAAGCTCCGCTTTGATCAAATTTCCAGAATCAGATTCAAAATTGGTTGCTAATTCTTTATCAATTTCATCAGCCTTTCTTTTTCCTAACTTTATTAATGTATTTAATTTTTTGTTTGCAAGATACTGTACTTTGAAATCCTTAAATATATCATAATGATTAGCTACAAAACCGCGCAACCACTTAATATTTTCTGTACACATAAGTCCTAATATATATAGAATCGATATTCTTCCAGTATAATTATATGTTTTTGAATATAAGCATAAAAACTCGAGAGATTATCTGAATGTGATTCATAAACTTGAACTTTAGTAAAATGGAAATCTTCAGCAAAATCAGCCCATTGAAATAAAATCTCATGTTTATTAGAACATCACTCAAGGTTTAAACGAAAATAGACACCAGCAAGAAATGTATATATTGTATACTCTGCAATAAGAGGAACTCAAACTTGATTATTTTCATCTTTTGGTAGATTTTCAATGTTTAGTAACCAATATAAGAACTGTTTTTTATTAGAATTATGTGGAATAGTTGCATTTTGAGGTAATAATGATAGAAATTGATCTTGTTCACTAACAAATATAGTTCTATGTGGTCGTTTATATTTTTTTCATTGAGGATTTATTGCTAAAAGCCGTGTTGCCCAGTTACGATCAATCTTATATGTGGATATTAAATGAACAAAATAGAAAGCTAAAAATAGACTATATATAAAATAAAGAAATTTTAACATTCTCAAAAGTTTTTATATTTAAAAATATGTTTTACTATAATTTTTGGTCTTATTTATATATTGACGGTAGTAAAAGCTTTTTTTTTTTAAAAAAAAACAATAAAAAAAAAAAGGTTAAACCTGATGATGGGCAGTTACAAAAAGTAATGAGCAAGCTTTTGCTTGAAGTCAAACTAAAGAAAACATAATACCAACTATTATTAATTGAACTTTGTATTATTTAAAAAATAAAGAAAACCTTTGCGCTATTAATGAAAGGTCAAACACAATATTAAAATATTAACATGGCAGTTATAACAAGCTTTACAAGTTGCATTATATTTAAAAAGATCGACATACATATATATATATATTTGTGTAACTATTTCGAGAAAGTCTACTCTTAAAAAACAAAATTTTTTGACACTTTTTTTTAAAAAGATAAAATTATAAAGAACATAACTACCTAAATTAAATTTGCTATTGTATATAAAAAATTCTAAATTGCTCTAATAGAGATGAAATAGGAGTTTTTTAAAAACCTATTTCGGTAGCATATATAATATAAATTACTATAGACAGAAATTTAGAAAATTTCTTAAGAAATATAATATTTCTTCAAGGAAAACTTTTTTTCATACTAAGGTAATTGTCTTTGAGTCCCTAAATAAAGTTGTAGAGCTTATCAAAATGAATCTAATAGTAGTTAGATCATTTAAATCAGCCTAGTAGATGCCAAAATATCTTTAAAAAACTTCTTACTGACTATATAAAATTCTTTAAAGAAATTTTATATAGTCTACTAGGCCGATTTGAATGGCTAACCACTATTAAATTCATCTTGATTAGCTTTACAACTTTATTTAGAAATTCAAAGCCAATTAACTTAGTATAAAAAAAAGTTTTTTTTGAAGAAACATTATATTTTTTAAGAAATTTTTCAGATTTCTGTCTATAATAATTTACATATAAAACTGTATCATGTTACACTATAATTATTCTTCTGTTTACTGGAAAATTATTAATTAAAGAATTATTTCTATTTTTATATATATCTCATGATCTACAAAGCTGATTTTAATGATCTTACTATCATTAGAATCGTAATAATCTTCTCTACAACTTTTATTAGAAGCTCAGACAAGGTTATTATAATAAAAAAATAGTTTAATTAATAATTATTATAATTTTTATTTTATTTTAATTCTATTAGTCAATTCAAAGCAAGAGTCATGTGATTCAGCTATATTAGCCAACTAATCATTTTGTATCAGCTGGCTTAACTGGCTAAGCTAGCTTAATCATAGCTGTATTAGCCAGCTTAAAACACTATTACAACCTTCTAGTACAAGCTGGTGTAACCAAAGTCACAGATACTTACCTGATCGATATATTATATAGTTTTATCATAATATATTCTGTAAATTTGAATTTTGTTACTAATGGAATTCGAACTTTCAAAAACAAAAGCTATACATCAGTAACAACAACTCTTCCCAACGATTACTTGTACCAACCTAATACTGAAAGCAAATTGAAGATTTAAGCCTAGAAGTCGACAACAACTTGAAGTTTTCTCGATATGAACTATTGTCAATGAAGTCTTTAAATATGATACACCAAGAAGCAGGTGTTTTGGATGGTTTGCAAAGGGGTCAAGCCTTGCTTCTCTGCTATTTTTGAGGTGGACTTACCTTTGTGTTTGGCATCCAAACTGGAGGAGTCTCTGGGAATAGCAAATAGAAAAGAAAACTAAAGTTAGTTTGAAGATGAAAGACTCTGAAAAACTCTTGGAACAACACTCTTTGGTTGGAAAACTCACAGAAACTCAATATTTCCTCACTGTCTTTTGGCTTCAAAATTTTCGACAAAAAGTGGAGAATTCAGCTTACCCCCTCCAAAAGATCAGCATTGTTTACCACTTTCATATCAGGAAACTAGATGATGAAAAATCGGCATGTGTTACGAAATAAATGAAATGATAACAACAAGTCACGTGGAGTTTTTAAAGTCCTTATACTTTCGGATGACGATATGGATTTAATCGGGAAAAGTTAAGCAAAATGTTTTGAGATATACAACGTGTCCCTTGTATATAATTTTTAGCCTCTAGCACGAGTTATAGTGTATTTTGTTTTAGTTTTATGGTTTTAATTTTGTCAAGACTCTCAACTGAATAGTAGATTGTTATACTGTATAATTAGAAGTTTTCGCCTGGTTAGCAGGTTTTCTTCTTTTTAGTTCCCTATTATTTTTTTTTTTTTTTTTTTTTTCTTCTCTACAAGAAAGTGTCATTAGTTTGGTGGCATTCTATTGTAGAGCAGAAATCTTGACGGAGCGAGCAACAGCTAGCCAAGGAATCTGGATGAAATAAGTTCAGAGTGAGTTTCGGATCTCTGGAGAAGGCCAAGTGTTGCTAAGCAGGTTGCATCTGGGCAAGATATAGCAGTTTAATAGTTCACTCTGACCGCAAGTAGATGTTTTGGCATTTGCAAGATATGCCGAGAGTGAGTTTACTCTTTGGTTAGAACACTTATAGATTTTAGATTTCTTCATAAGCTGATATAGGAATGAAAGTCTGTTCCCATAATAAAGTAAACAGGATTGCTGAAGGAAAAAAAAAAAGAATTCGAACTCTTGTTCTGCTACTTGAGGACAGTGTTATCACAAGACAATTTTGAATAGTAGGTTTGGATACTTTAGACAATTTTAGACAATTAAATAAATTCAAATTACTTAAAATTTTATTAAGATAACCTATATTATTTTCTAAATAAAATATGTTCAGCATCTAAAAAATATATAATTATATATTTGTTAACTAAATTTATTAATTATTAAAGCTTAGATATGCTCTGGATACTTGAACATTAGACAGTGCCAAAAAAGCCTTTGAACAATCAAAACATACATCACTGCCATCTACTCTTAAAGCATGTTATAATCATTTTTACATAAAAAATTAATCTATATTCGACTATATAATCAACTTCATAATAAAATTCATGCCATATTTTACTTTATAATAATATTAATTAAAACATGTCATAATCAGCTTTACTAGAAAAAATTGAACCATATTCGACTACATAATTAGCTTTATAATAAAGTTCATACCATATTCTACTTTATAATAGTATTAATTAAAACATGTTATAATTAGCTTTACTAAAAAAATCAAACCGTATTCAACTATATAATCAGCTATATAATAAAATTTATGCCAAATTAAAATATATCATAAGCAGAAAAATTGAATCATATTTAACTATAGAATAAAAAATCGAACTACATTTGACTTATTAAATTAAAGCACATCATAATTAGCTTTACAATAAAAAATTGAACTATATTTGACTTTAAATTAAGTAGCAAATTAAAGCACATCATAATTAGCTTACAATAAAAAAATCGAACCACATTTGACTTTATATAAAATATCAATTTAAAGCGTGTCATAATCAATTTTACAATAAAAAAATTGAACCACATTTAACTTTGTAATCAAAATATCAAACTAAAATATATCATAATCAGCTTTACAATAAAAAATTGAACCATATTTGACTTTATAATCAAGTATCAAATTAAAAAGTATTATAGTAATATATAATATAAAAAATAAATTTCTTATAAATACAAAACAGCTTGTTGCTTATAATAGTAACTTATTCTTTACAAACTACTACTCAATCTCTCTCTTAATTTCTTTAATTTCTCAACCTTTCAATTTTTCTTTCTCTGCTTCTTAATCTCTCTCAATTTCTCTTTCTTTGTCTCTTAATCTCTTTTAATCTCACTCTTTCTATCTTTTAATCTCTCTTAATCTCTTTTTCTGTCTTTCAACCTCTCTCTTTCTATTTCTTAATCTTTTTCTCTCTCTCTTTCTCTTTCTTTCTCTTTTTTTCTCTCTTTCTTTATCTTTCTCTTTTTCTCTTTCTTTCTTTCTCTCTCTTTTTCTCTCTCAATCTCTCTCTCTTTTTCTTAATCTCTCTCTCTCTCTCTTTTTCTTTTTCTTTCTCTTTTTTTCTCTTTTTCTTTTTTTTTTTCTCTTTTTCTTTTTTCTCTCTTTCTCAATCTCTTTTTCTTAACCTCTCTCAATCTCTTTCTCTAAAATGTCTCAAAAACAAAGTGTAAAGAATATTTTAAAATCCATTAACCAAGATTCATCCAATTTGGCTATTCAATCATTATCTACTTCGACCCATAAAACATGTATGACTATTAATTGCTATTGCCAAAATATAATAGCAAATTAGTTGATCCTTATACCAAAAATTAATATTATTTAACTATTAGCAAACAGTCTCAAACAGGATTTAATGAATTAAAGCAACCAACCCAGATTGTTTCAGAATTAAGTAGCCTGAATTAATAATCAATAACAATAATTAATTCAAGGTCAGATAATAAACTTCTATCTGGCCCTGATAATGAACTTCTATCTAGCCTTAATATGAATAACTTATCATTTTTACCAAAAAA